GGATTTGCTGTGAGGATTACATAAGATTTTGGGGACCAAGGGCTTAGCACACTGATCAGTACCTACACTGACCAGTACTCCATAAGTAGATATGTACGGACACATCCCAATAAAGAGAGGGAAAGTCAAGTCTTACAAGTTTACACATCCACAACAGCTATGGGCTCATCCCTGGCCAAAAATAAAAAGAAACCACATGCTCTGTGGTTAACAGGCCCATCCAGTTCCCTGCAATAGAAGAAGTGACAGAGGGGCGCCTGGGTGGCTCAGTGGGTTAAAGCCTCTGCCTTCAGCTCAGGTCATGATCCCAGGGTCCTGGGATGGAGCCCCGCATCGGGCTCTCTGCAGGAGGAAGCCTGCTTCCTCCTCTCTCTGACTGCCTCTCTGCCTACTTGTAATCTCTGTCTGTCAAATAAATAAATAAATAAATAAAATCTTTAAAAAAAAAAAAGTGACAGAAAGTGGGTAAATGGGTTAACTCCATCATCAATCCACACCCAGAGGAGCCTCTTCTGTGCCAGCCAACACAACAGTGAGGACGGTCCAATGCCACCATCGGACCATGCCTGTGCTCTCTGAGAACACGGGAATAGGCTTTAAAAAGATGAGAGAAGGCCTGACATGGTCATGCTGACATAAAGGTAGCTCTAGCCTCTGCACCCTGAGATGAAATGCCAGGACAGCCCATGACCAAAGGGGTAGACGGTGCCAAGCCTGGAACTGATTGATTGGGTGATTTAGTCCTGATTGAGCAAAACTACCAGCTGGAGGCTGGCCAGTGGGCTCAGGTGAGAACATTGCCTACTCTGTACCACAAGGTTCACCACTGGTAAAACGAGGATATATCCTCCTTCTCAGGGTTGTGTAGACAGTTTAGACCAACTGATGTCCATTTACTCTCCACAAAGGGGCTGACACATAGAAAGCTCATACCAACAAGGGCAGTGCTATATACTAGTTGACCAGAAGCTGGGAGAGACTTTGACCACCCACTGGAGTGACACCTTTTGTGGCTGGACCATTCAAAATTCTTGAATTCCCCAGTTGATACATCAGAAGGCTCCAAGAATATTTGAGAAAGGAACACTGGCAGGAGGATGTGGACCCTAGAGGTAAGGCTGTTGGCAAGGTTTGGCCTGTGCACAAAGGTTGCCACCAGCTGTAGACATCTTGATGCCAAGTTGAAAAAGTAGAAAAAACAAGACTTTGACTGCCATGTGATGGAACATTTTCCAATGAATACAATATACAGACAGACTATCAATAATGTGAGTGGCACCTTTCTGCAAGAGCTGGGACCCCTTGCATGTGTGTATCCAATACAAAAGAACTGGCACCCCTAGGGTCCCCTGGAATGTGGTGTCTGACAAAGCTCTCTTTTGCAGGTATCAGTTGCCAAGATGCTGACCCTCTGGGCCCTGGTCATCACATTGACCGTCCAGGCAGGAGCACTTGACCTGCAGACTCCGTCTTTACTGCTGGGAAATCTTCCTGTCGATCAAGTAGCCACTGAGGCTTTCAGAAAAGCCCCTCTCGATCTAACAGGAAGACTGCTCCATACTCCCCAGAGACCCCCTCCATTTAGAAAACGTCAAGCTAGGACCCCAGGAGGCAGGTGTCTACCCGTGGCCAAGTACTTACTGTCCCAAAGCAGCCTCGAAGAATGTAAGTAAAAATTGTTTCACCTGCATATCTTTGATTTTCCACCCCCTCCCACAAACTTCTCATTTCTAAGCCCAAAAGCTAATTATACCTTCAATAAGGAGAATGCATCAGTATCGCCTTGGGAGCTTGTTAACGAAACAGCTGCCTGGGCTCCACTTCCAGACACTGTGGTCTAACGGTACTGCAGTGGGCCTGAAAACCTGGTTTTCTAATAAGCTCCAAGTTGATTTTGAAGTGCTTGTCTGTAGTCCACACATGGGGAAGGACTGGTCGAAGCAACCCTGGAGAAGGGAACTCTTGGATCCAGCCAAATGTCTGGTTACCTGCCTTTTATGGGACCTTCATCGCCTGGACACTGCCAGGAACTCCCACAGCTGCTCAGGGCTGCGCTCTACAGCTCATCTCCAACAACCCCACGTGCTTAGAACATCAACCTGGTTGACAAGGAGGCAGGAAATGGGAAATCCAGGTCCACTACCAAACCCGCTGACCAGATTTGCTCTCTCCAAGCTCCCTTCTCACACCCTTGCTAAGTCTCAGCCTCCCCCTCAAAGATGTGGCATTCTGTCCTCCAGCAATCTCCTAGGGTCAGAGAGCAGAGGAGCTCAGGAATTCCAAGGCTTGGCAAAGAAGTGACTCTTTTTGGAGACCAAGAAAGGAGTAGGACTCATCAGCAAATGAAGGCCAGGAGGAGAGCCCACAAGGCAACCCATGATGGCCTTTTGCAGCTCTGGCCTCTGCAGCCAGCCTTCCAGGATGATAGGACAGGGTGACGTAGGGGAATCAGTGCCTGCCTAATGATCACAGTGCCCAGCCCGCAAGCTCACACATCCACTGCTTTGCCTCTTCAGGAACATTTCCTCCTCTCTGCCTACCCTCATCCTGCCTTATGACGAAATCCTTGAAATATATAGAAAAGTTTCAACAGTGGTAAAAATAACAGTTGTGGGGGCACCTGGGTGGCTCAGTCGGTTAAGCGTCCAACTCTTAATTTCAGCTCAGGTCATGATCTCAGAGTTGTGAGATCAAGTCCCATGTCAGCTCCTTGCTCAGTGCTGAGTCTGCTTCAGATTTGCCTCCCGCTCAATCTGCCCCTCCCCCTCCTCATGCCCTCTCTCTCTCTCTCAAATAATATATATCTTATTATATATAATATTATATATAATATATATCAAATAAATAAATCTTAAAAAATAAAAATTAAAAAATAATAGTTGTGTACCCAACAAACAGTGATTGGTGGTGCTGGTTGTTAATTTCATTGTCAGACATCAAAAACCATAAACGATATATACAACAAATGCTCTTGTAGACACAACTGAGATTAAGGAATAAAACCCAGCCATAGGGCTGAAGGCCCCAGGGCTCCTGCAGGGCTGCAGGGTGGCCTCCCTCCCTTTCTCCCCTTCTCCTCCCACCTCTGGAGGAGACCTCTGGCCTGATTATTTTTCCCTTGCCATTTCTCTATATGTTGTGGTATGTGGCTATTTCTTCTTAATATTAAGAACTGCACTACATGTTATAAAGTTTCCCAAAAGGTAACCTGCTTGCAGTGTCTCAATCTTGTTTCTGAGGTCATTCATCCATGTTTAATGAGAAAGACTTTCCATTCACTTTCACCATGGTATTCTACTAGATGAATCTTCGATAACGTGCATCTATTCAATTTCCATTTTGTGTAATTCTCCACTACTCCAAACAACACTGACCTGAACACCCTTGTGCGGGTCTTGTGGTGTTCGTGGGAAATTCTCTGCACATCCACATCACCCTCCACAGGCAAGGGCTCTGCAGAGTATGGAGGCCCACGCATGGGAGGCAGCAGCAAGGCTCCCAAAAGCCAAGGCTCATCAGCTCAACAGGGCTGGTACCCGTGAACTTCTTCCGGCTACTCTGTTGTCCTTTGGTCCAATTAACTTGTTTGCTGAGGTAGGTAAGGTTGATCACCACCCAGATGCAACAGTTCCGCTTCTGAGTTTCTTCCTCAGGCCACCGAGAACAGTATGATAGGGTAGGACTCCCATGACTTCCCGGCTCTTCAAGTTGGCTCTTGACCCTTTCTCCTTCCCCACCATCTTCTGGGAGTCCACGTCCCCTTGTCCTGCTTACCTCCATCGTGGACACAAAGAAATGGTGAGCACCTCCTCCACCCTAATGATAACAATGCTGCAGAAGGATCAGCGCTGATGCGGGTGTCCTCTTAGTGTGGGCAATTTGTCAAAGATGGCAAGACCTCTCAATGACCCACGAGGAGGAAATGAGGCCTGGAGAAGAGACTTGCACAGAATCCCACAGATGGAGACAGAAGAGTCCAGATCTATCAGCACCACCACCTCTGCACTGGCCACCTCAACCCTACTCTGCACTTAAAATCGGCTTAACTCCTTAGTCCTGTCCCCAGCAACCCATGCTGCAGGCTCTATATGCATTCCTGGACAGGTGCAGAGACTGGGACTCAGGAAAGAGAAGACCCTGCCTTGGGCCATTTGGACTTCTAGGAACAGAGTCTAGACCTTACAAACTCCGGGCTACTGGGCTCAAAAGCTAAACTAAGTCCTTCCATGCCATGCCCAGCCTGCTTTAGAGTACCATACTCAACACCAGGCTGGCCTCAGGTAGGTGCTAATAAATGTTAACTCTTGACAGAAGACAGGTTATCTCTGCAACGGCAGGCTGTCCTGTGGGGGGGGGGGGGGGGGGGGGGGGGGGGGGCAGGGGCAGGGATAGATTTATCCAGAAGGCATGACATATAGGACCTATGGGCCTCACAATTCAGAGGTGCTGGTTTTCCAGCTGGGAAGTTTCCTCTGGCTCAATCAGTTGCACAGCCAACAGCAGGATCATGTCTCTTGACCCATTTCAGATATGAACACCATGCTGCCCCCAAAAATCCAGAAGAAGCTGATGTGCGAGAAGGTACTTCTGTCTGGCACAATTGGAAAAGTGCTATCCACGGTGTCTAACTCCGACCTACTGTCTATATTAGACGGCAATTCAATCCTCAGCTTACCTGGAGGTGATGCTCTTGGTGGCATCCTGAGCAAAGGAAGTGGTGGCCTGACCTCACAGCTCCCACTGCCATCACTCTCAAAAGTCACTGACGCCCTCAGTATCCCAGGGGATCTGGGCAGCCTACTACGCACTGGTGCAGAGAAGAATCCTGCAAAAGGACTCGTCGACACCCTTGGTGTTGCAAATCTCCCCCTGCCCCTGAATGATGTGGGTGAACAAGCCGGCAAGCTCACAGAATCCACCCAGGACATGCTGAACAACCCACTGGCAGCCGGCATGGGAGATGCAATCACAGGCCTGATGAGAAGTATTAACACAGATTTCTTGATAGGGTAAGTGATTCCTTAATCCTAAGGTCTGGCACAAGAAGAAAGCTGCTGTTTGGGGACACTGAAGTCCAACCTCCAGCAACCTCATGGAAAGGGACAACCACATTTTCATGAAGCAATATTCTAGTTCTATGCTGAAAGGGTGCACTTTCATTGGGAAATATGTTCATGATTTCTTGAGCTTAAAGAGCAGCATGGGGAAGAGGGCTAGGGAGTCCCAGAGATGGATGGGTTGGTAAGTTGTTAACTGGCTGCTTCGAGGGTATTTCTCCTGCTGCCCAGGCTGATTTCTGGAGCCAGGACTGACCCATGATATTGTCACTTTGCAGATTAAATGTTCAAGCCGTGACTGTGGAAAACATGACATCAACCATGACAGGTGGTAGGATCATTGTCCAAGCCACAACTACTGCCATCATAGGTGGAAAAGGGTGAGTATGTTTTCAAAGCAGTCAACTGAGACAGAACAGACTAGAGACTTAAGATCCAGGGTCCAAGGGTCAGGCAGAGACAACATAGAATAAGGTAGGATGCTTGAGGATGGGATAAATTGGACACCAGGCACAGCTGTCTCTCTCCTCTGCCCCAAAGGACCAAAGCAGGAGAATGACCCCATGGAGCCCCATCCTCAAATAGTGTAAGCACAGCCAGAAATCCAGATTTCCATGTGAAATCTGCACAATTTTATACATGGGCAATGAAGAGAGAAACCTCAGAGAATGACATGTACACTGGTATTATGACTCCAAATAATCTGGAATCTCCGAGGAGAATCAGCGCACTCCACAAACACCATAGTCTGAGGCAGTAATGGAGGATGGAGAGGACTCATCCACCTAGTGGGTACTTAATACACAGCTCCCTACCAGATGTCGTGCTGGGCACATAAGGAGCACTAATGTCGGTCCCTGGCCTCATCGAGCATCAGCATGTGGGGAGAAACAGGTTAACAGTGCAAGCCCCAGGCACACAAGAAGACATGAGAGGTGGGGCGCCTGGGTGGCTCAGTGGGTTAAAGCCTCTGCTTTCAGCTCAGGTCATGATTCCAGGGTCCTGGGATCGAGCTCTGCATCAGGCTCTCTGCTCAGCGGGGAACCTACTTCCCTTCCTCTCTCTCTGCCTGCCTCTCTGCCTACTTGTGATCTCTGTCAAATAAATAAATAAAATCTTAAAAAAAAAAAAAAAGAAGAAGAAGACATGAGAGGGAAAGGCAATCCACACTGGGGAGAAGGCTTCTTGGACTAACACACACAGCACTAAAAACTGAGTAAGCTCCAGCCAGGCACTCAGCTGAGGCACTCTGAACTCCCTGAACCCTTCTGACGACCTCGTCAAAAAAACAGTCCTGTTTCTGGACTAGGGAACCAGTACAAAGTCAGTTACAAACCTTGCTCAAAGTCACGCAGCTGACAGAGTTTGAACCTAGGCATTGTGTCTCCAGAACCCACATTTGTAACTAGTACAGTTAGTATCAGGGAGAACCCATTTGTCTTCTCCAGAACATCCGGCATTAATGAGACCTGGCTCTGGTAAATGATGGGTTTTTCTTATGCTGTCACCTATGTAACAGACAGCTGGGGATGCTGGGCACAGAAGCGTAGACAATAATGGGCATCTTGTTACAAGCAGGCCTGGGGACACCAACAAAAGACTTCTTGAAGGCTGGTGAGGAGAGTGACTTTATCAGTGTTTACTGAATGCCTCCTGTCACCTTTGCAAGGTGGGGATCCTGGTGATCGGGCCCATGTGATGGGGGGACTACCGACTGATGATCAGTAGATGTCTTTATTTCTTACGATCACTTCTTTTATACCTTCCACAAGATCCACTACAAACAGGATATAGATTTATGTGCAAGGCACGGGCTACATGTGAGATGTGATTTACATGCAGGCAATCAAGTGAAACAAGTGAAAAATAATGATTATCTCTTAGCTTTAAATGACAATATCTCTTCACTTTAAATGACAGGAGCAAGTTAAGGATTCTCCACACTTATCAGATCTATCTTAAAGGAGGACCTGAAAACACCCCAGAGATCCTCCCATGTTTATTCCGGGCATTGACCCAGGAAGACTCTTGCCCTCCATCTCCTGGAGTTTTCTCAAAGGATTCGACAGGACCCCAGTCACAATGGCGAGGATCTAGGTTGTGTTCCAACAACCTCCCATGAGCCAACCTCTGAATCCTGTGTAGAGGAGGAAGGCCAACCTTGAGGCATCCTCACTGGAAAGCACCAAACTTTCCCTCTCTCAATTAATCTAGACAAACACACAAGGCTGACTCCCCAAATGCCTATTGGTTGGCCTGAGGGACAACCTGGAGCCAAGTCTGGTTTCACCTGCATCTTGCTCTCCACAGCCTAGCAGGACCTGTAGTCAGCATACTGGGATATCAAGTACATGGGGAAGTAACCCTGAAAATTGGTCTTTCCACGAGCAACACCCAGTGTGTCAACCTCCAAGTCCAGGACAAGGACATCAAGGTCAACAAAGTGTCTCTTCAGATAGTGGAAACGTACGTAAGACCATTTTTCTCATTTTCTAGATCAGTGTGTGCCAGAATGTCCCCACTAATGCCACCCTTAGAGATGAATTTGGCCAATCCAATGGTTTGAATGATCTATAAATGGAGGCTCAGAGAGGGGTCTCTGTTTGGGAACAGCCCACTGTTTGAAAACCGTCTTCTCTCACTCTGCCTGTACTATGCTAGGCATACTCTTTGTATTTTGTTCTTTTTGCATAAGCAATACATCTACTTAGATTAAAATTCAAAAAGATACAAAAAGCCATGTGAAAAGTCTTCCTCCCACCACTGATGCCAACTGGCTAATTATCCTTCTTGGAAAGAACCAATGAATCTAGTCTCTTCTGCTGGCTTTCAGCAATGTTGTATGTGTGCAGCTGCGTGTATGTGTACACACACTAAAAGGGGCAAATATTTTATACACCTTTCTGGACTCTGGATTGTTTCACTTAAAAAAAGAGCTTGGAATCTGTTGCATTCACATATAGCTTCTTCATTTTTTATGGCTTAGCATTCCATTATGAAGAGGCACGCGATTTAACAGTCCTTTATTAAAGAAGCATTGTATTTTTCAGTTATTAACTTTTGTATCCAACTCCAACTAGTAAGGTCCCAGACAAGTCTGTTCACTTTCAATGGGTATCTGAAGGATAAATCCCTCTGCATGGGATTGCTGGGTCAGATGTCAGGCATTGGCAGTCTTCCCAGGTATCGCTGCATCTTCCTTAATGACTGAAACTGTAGACAAAAGGACTCAGGTGCTTGTACAAATTAGGAAGCAGGACATCATGCAGCTGTTTCATCGGTAGATGGGTTTTTTCCCAATGTCTGGGCAAAATCTAGAAATGCAAGAATCACATGGTTCTCCACATCTTTCCCAGGCTCACAGGTACTTTGTCAGGGACCATCCCTGTGCCTCTGCCTTTGGACAACATCATTTCTCAATTGTTGACAGTCGCTATGGAAGAAAATGTAAGTCCTAAGAAAGAGGAAAGCACCACCTCAGAGGGCTAGGTCACTGGGAGAAAGACAGGGAGGAGCCCTTTCTTTGGATGTAGCCTGATGCTGGGAGAGACTCAAGAAGGAAATAATCAGTCAGGCCTTCTGGCCCCAAAGACCCAGCAGCAGGACAGGATAATGCCTCTGGCTGGGAGAGGGAGAGGATGAGTTCTGTCAAAGAGAAGTCCAAGAAATAGGACTGGAAGAAGGGAAGGAGAACGGGAAGAAGGGGGAGAGGAGCTGGGCTGAGGAGGAGAACAGGCCTGCTGTACTTCCTTGGCAAGGCTAACTGGTGGTGATTTCACAGTTTCAAGAATCAGAATCGTGTGACATTGAGTTCGGTGATTTCAACGAATGCAAGAACTGTGAGTACAAATTCCAGACCTTTCTGAGGCTCATGGGTCAATGGAGGGCTCCTCTGGGATCCCACCAGATGACAGAGCAGAGAGTATGGGGCTATGAGCTACAATACCACGTACCTCCAAGCATTCAAACCTCTGCACCCTCATGGCAGAAAATGAGGTAACCTACAGGCTTCTCTGAATCACTGCAACTCATTCTCTAGGATAGAGCTGGGGAGAGACCCTTAGAAGTCTCTTTGTTAACCCTACCACCCAAGTGGCTTGAAAAGTGCACATGTATATAGAGTTGGAGCAAGGAGCATTCCCAGTCCTCACTCCAGGGAAGCTGAGAAGCAAAAATTCCCTCCAATGTCCCCATATATATCTGGGAGACAGGAATGAGAGGACATAGTGGGACAGTGGCTGCCAAGACAATCAAAGCAGGAAACTGGTAACATTTCCCAAGTCCCAGAGTAGATGAAACTGGGGCCTGGGCAACAAGCCTTTTCCTCTCACTTGAGGTTTTGGCACAACAAGAACAGGGCCAAGCCCTTGTGCTGTCTTCCTCCCTGAAGCCTCCTCCCAGAAATGTGGAAAAGCCAGTAGGGTACCAGCTTTCTGCCTGGGAGTAAGAAAGCAAGAGGTGTCCACACTGATCCCCCACCTGGAGGGCGGGGCCACCAAGAGCCCAGGGGTGGCAGGGGTCTCTCTATATACTCTTTCCTCTCACCTGCAGCTACTGGCTTGTTCAAGTATGAAGTTAAAAGCTCCAGGATTTCCACACGAGGTCTTTCTATCTCCTACTGTGTAAGTGTTCTTTATGCTTACAACAGAGACATCCCTGAACTCATGAAATACATGCTACTTAAAGAACCCTTAAATAGGGGAATCCACCTGAAAAGTGAGGTTCTGTGGCTTCTCTTAGACAATCAAAAGCCTGGTGGGCCCAAGTTGGACTACATCAGAGCAGTGCTTCCTCCTTTATAAGAGGTTCCTACTCTCCAGTCTCCACAAAACCCACAAGTTCCCATAGGCCCCTAACACGGAGGCTGGGTAGGTCTACTACTGTCATCATTCTCATCCACTCCAGTGCTCACAGGGGGCCACGTCACTCCTCGAAATCTCAGCCGGAATTGTTAGTCACACATGATGACACGGATTTTTCTGCCTTTCTTTCTCTAGGCTAAAGCCCTCTTTAGCAGTGGTACAGTTCCTGTGCCTGGAGGTCCCCTGTCACCAGATCCTAAAAATGCCAACATTTCCTTAACTCTGTCTTCTAAGTTTCTCAGAGTAATTGTCACTCAAAGTGCCAAGCAGAGCTCTGTCAAGGTAAGCACCAGCTACATGGCCCCTGGCACCATTCTCCTCTTTGTGTAAGCCTAGTCTGTCAAACCCTGAAAGAAGGTAAAAAGGAAGTGGGTTCTAGAACATTCCTCCAGAGATAAATATGAGGAAATGCTGTGGGATGCAGATTTTCCCTTAATGATCATGTAAATGGATCTTTATTAACACTGACAGAGAGCAGGGACATGGAGAACAAAGGTTTTCTGAGTGCCTGCTATGTGCCAAGGACAAAGCCAGGTGCCTTCTTTACATAATGAATGTCCTCGCATTGTCACAATAGTACTAGGAGGCGGGGTTCTTATCCCCATTATTCAGAGAACCAAAGCGAGAGAAGTCATTGACCCACAGCCACAGTATGAACTAGGGAGTGGGTTTATCCACATGGGAGGTAGTCATTTGCTTCTGGCCCCGAAAGTGAGAAGAGAGGAAGTAATAACAAGGATATGATAATCACTGAGTACTTTCTATGGGCCGGGCTCAGTTTCAGCAATGTACATTGTTTTCTTAACAGTGTCCCAACATGAACAAGTACAGAGCGGTCTGTCACAAGAGCACAAAAAGAAATGGTTTTTTAAGTTGCTTGCAGGGTAACAGAGAAGTAAAATAAAATTTTACATGTTAAATGCCCTCCTGTCCTTCTGAGAAAGGAAATGACCTATAGGAAAATATCTGGAATTAGACCCACTAGGTGAGCAACTCGTACTAGAGGGCCAATAAATATTGAATAAATGAACTGAGTGATGCCCGAGTATCTCACTAGGCAACATTCTGTAGTCCTTCCTCTCCATATTTTAAATGATGACTTCTTTACAACAGATGAATAACCTGGCTGCAGGCATCACCAAAATAGTCTACTCCTTCCAGTCAGGAAACCAAATCCAAGCCACCTGCTGGGTCACTGTGGAAAAGGATGGTGATAGTTTTGCTACTGGGAAAACGGTAAGTACTGAGTAACAAATCAGGATTGAGCTGAGAGGAGGAACTAACAGGAACGAAGGTTAAGAAAGAAGAGTGGTCTGGACGGTAAAGGGAGCTAACATCAAATCCCTGCAGGCCCAAGTGCCTGGGTGACCCTAAGACAAGGGAGGCTGGTGGGCTCAGTCACCAGGGCAGAAGAGATAAATAGGTTGTCTCCTGAGACCAGGTAGTCTCCGCTCTTGTCCTTCCCTATGATCTTGCTGGTCATATCACAGTGGGATATGTTTGCGGATTGGCCAGGTCAAGATATTATTTTTAACTCATGTTTGTTTTATATGAATGCAGATCTTGATCCTCTCCCATGACTGCAGGATTTTGAAAGACAAACTGATACCAGACATCAAGGTTGAGAGGTACTGTCTGTAACTATAAAATCCTGTCATTTGTCAGTATAGAAACAAATTATCAAGAGCACAACTGAGGGTGCCTGCGTGGCTCAGTGGGTTAAAGCCTCTGCCTTCGGCTCAGGTCGTGATCCCAGGGTCTGGGATCGAGCCCCGCATCGGGCTCTCTGCTCAGCGGGGGGCCTGCTTCCCTCTCTCTCTCTGCCTGCCTCTCTGCCTACTTCTGATCTCTGTCAAATAAATAAATAAAATCTTAAAAAAAAAAAACAACACTTAAAAAAAAAACCACAACTGAAATCACATGCATAATTATAGGAAAATCAAAATGGAGCTTTACTCACCTTAAAATTCATTTCTCCTCTGTATCTGACATTTTATAAGTGGCTTTGAGAAGTGACTTAATACCTAAACTCTAGAATTATTTAATATTTTTTATGTGAAAATAATTTTTCCTTGTACTGTCCCCTGACAGCTCTGAACACTCGGTGACACCCCCTGAGGCTGTAAGTGGATTCAATTTTCAAAATATCTATATGTGAGAAATTACTTTAGGGCCAGATGCTCAGTGACACAGGGACTCTGGAAGGAAAAGGTCACACAGACTAGAACACAATGTGGAATGGCACTATAGGTTCCAAACCTAAGCCCTCTCTGGAGAGTTCTTAAAACTAGTTCCCAAAGCCCATTATTGGAGTCCCACATTCAGTCAGTGACCCCAGGAAGTCCTAAATCCACGATTTTTTAGTGTCCCGGGTGATTCTGATATACAAGGAAGTTCTAGGGTCCATTGGAAGGATGAAAAGGTAATCTAGATTCTTATCTTGCATGGGCTCATGGGGGCTGCTCAAAAATATACCCAGCCTCCCACAGCCTCCCCCTTCCCATCAGTGGTTCTCAACCCATGTTCTACGGAATGAGCACATGGATCACCAGATGAGAGACTGGGAAGTGGGGAAATGGGGAAAGTGAGGGTAGGGCCCAGTGAGTGGGCTCCAGGAAATTCACAGGAAGTTCCCCAACCACACCCCCTTTAAGATACTTGGTCTTGCACATGTTCATGCCATTATTCAACAAATGTTTAGTGAGCACCACTATGTGCCCAGCCCTAAGATACAACAATGATGAGATCCCTGACTCCAAGAGTGAATCTCAAGTTTAAGTGGTAAGACAGAGACAAATTAAAATCATTAATGAATCAGGTAAATCTTGAAGAGTCTAGTAGCCATACACTGTAGAGGCATATACACTGGGCACCCAGAAGTGAACAACCTTATGGCTATGGGTGACTACAAGTGCTGTTCTTCTATGTCAGCCCTGAGATAAAGAGGAGTCAGTTGAGAGACAGACTCTGGGAGTGTCGCAAGCCCAGTGATCCTTCATCTTACCTTTACTGCTGGGCAGCTGTGTAGACATGCCAGGCTCTGTGCAGGGGACGGACCATGGAAGGCAGGGTCCCTAACCTTGTTTAACTATCCACCTGACAGAAGACACAGATTTATGCAGAAAGTTGTCGATTTGGCATGAAGATGACAGAATAGAGACCACCAACTAGGAGGCAGACAGTGAGTTCCCTGAGAAGATGATGTCTGTACTTAGCCTTGAAGGAGGAGCGGTTTACTACTTTGGTACCCAAAGTGGGTACCAGGCAGAGGAAACAGGATGCATCAAAAGTAGGCATCACGGCATCATAGGCCTTTTGAAGAGGGGAAAGTTAAGTAGAATGTCAGCAGAGTGAAGCAAATTTGGGGAGATCCTAGAAGGGGATACAGAGGAGGCAGGCTCAGCAACAACCAGGCCTTCCCAATACTGAATTCAGCATCTGTCTTAAGAATATGCTGCACCGCCGTGACTAAAGCACTGTCTGGGACATAATAGGAACCCAATAAACATTTGTTCAAAGAGCCACCTAAGGCATCAAAACCTACTGAAAGGCTTTGCAAAACCCCTAAGGCAGAAGAGGCCCAAGGGATGGACTGAGTTCCACCTCTCCACCTAGTCTTGTTCAGTAACAGATTTCTACTGAACCCACATGTCAGAGGCACCCAAGATACACTGAAAAAATGCTCTTCCCATCTCTTCCAGGAGGATGAGGTGCAAGATATAATGTCCGTGGTTCTGAAGAAATTTTTGTCTGCCGTTAACGGTATGTGGAATTAGTAATGTAAACATTTAGAAGAGTCATAAGGGACAAGACTGTGAAACCACACTACAGAATGTACTCTGGCACTGAGCACAGTATCTTTCAATCACCATTCAGACTGAAAATCACTTCTTGTCTTCAGATAGGGACTTCAGAATCTTGAGATGCCAAAACATGAAAATTAAATCTAAATGCCTCTTCCTTAGGTCCTAATGAAATCTTGCCCATTAGGGGATCTTCAGGACCAACATCATCATACCACTTAGAGGAAACATGAACCTGGATCACCTAGTCACAGAGATGCTGGAGTTTGAGACACTTGAGACTGAGATCATGAACTTCACAACCATCCAGAGATGATGGTACAGAATACCACCTGTACATACTTGTGATGAACTCTAGAGGGGTTCAAAATATTGCAAATAACACCAAAATAGTAGGGTCTTTTAGTCTTCTTAAGTTAGTGAAGGCAGACATGCCTACATGTCTCTTAATACTGAATCTCTGAACATAGAATACCCACCAGGTTTCCAGTTATTTCTAGGGTCATTTCTGATCCTTGCAAACTTACCCATACACACACACAAGACTAAGAGAGTTTATGTCTAGAACATATCCATTGAATGGGCATGGGAACAAGTTCTCCTAGAGCTGTACACTGACCAGAGATCCTGCCGGTTGATTGTGGCTAAAACAACCCAACGAGATTATTGGTTTTTTTTTTTTCAACTCGTATCATAAAATTCTTCTTTATTTTAGAACTGACAAGTATATGGAATGTGCCACCAGGAATAACCTCAAATCCTCTAACCAAAGCCAAGGTTGAAGTACTTAAATCGGTAAGAGAGAAATATAAGTATTTCCCTTTTGCACTAAGGCCTACTCTGTACTTCAACTTCACAGGAATACGAATGGGGCCAGTGGGCCTCAGCCTCAGTCTGTTCCAGGCTGCCTTATCAGCTTCAATCAAACTCCCCACTCTTTCCTAGGTGGATTCATTGCCTACTGTCCCTTTAGTCGCAGGTCCTAAAACTGAGACACTCTTGGTTATATGCAGGCAAATAATCTATCCATCCCCATGAGGACTCTCATACTTTTCTGACTATGCCTCAGTCTCTTCTTTGGAAAGACTCCTACCACATATCCCTGACTTCTGTATGCTAGAGCCTTTCACTCTTTGCCACCCTGACTCTCATTTCCCTCCTTCTTCCTATCTATCTATCTAACCTTAAAACCAGAGAAAATTTCAAAAAGAACCTGCTTCCTAAGAAACAGGTAAAAGAATAGGATTTTTATTTAAATTTGTCACCAGAAAAACAGTAAATGATGAGAGTGGAACAAGAGAAGATATGAGAGCAAATAAGTTCAGAATCTCCATCACCCTTAGATGTTTCATTCTTGATAAACATGCTTATCAAGTATGTAACCCAACTGGGAAAATAACTTCTTTCATTTTGGCTCAAATCTCAGAAGTTGTATATTCATGTTTTTACTTAACCCCCAAATTTCCCTGGATCTATGGCCAAATCAACTACCAGAGTATAGAGCAGAGTAAATCAGCATCTACCTCAGTGTTGGTTTTCTGCCTCCTGCTCTTACCTGCACCTGTACTCCATGGCTCTGAGTGGCCTTGGACATATCAGTTAGCCTCCCGAAGTCAGCCTTGAGTCAAGGGATTTGATTAGATGAATATCAACTGTGTTCCAGCTACAATGATAGCCCAACCAGAACTGGCTTATGCAACAACAATAAAATTATAGGCAATGAACATCCAGGGATGAGACTAGCTTCAGCAGTGGCCTGATTCAGGGCCTAAATGATGATACCAGAATCCATCTCTTGGCTCTACTATTTCTAGGTGGGGTGTACTTTGGCTGTACATGGAGGTCTCTACCTACCAAGAGCTTCACTCTCCATATCTTTCTGGAATAGTTCAAACAACAATCACCCAGAAATAACCTCTGGGACTCCCATTAACCTGACTTGTTCCTTACTTGAAGCAAGCACTGTGGGCAGGCGGATAGAGTGCACTGGCTAGCTCAGTCCATGCCTATAGTCAGCTTATGTATTTGAGTATAATTAGTTGTCTTTCATCTCCTCACAGAATGATCTTCAGGCAGCAAACTAAACCCAGCATACCTGATGCCAGAGAATTTTCCAGAATGAAAGCATTCTAAAACTTCTCTAAGAAATATTGAGCCAAGGACATCCTTATCATTAAAAAGCCAAGTAGAATAGTGTTCTGAACATGCCAACTATTATTCGGAATCTCACCAACATTATCTTGAATTAACAAGTGCAACAAAAGCAAGAATCCAGCAATTTTTGGCATTCTGTAATCACTTCTTTAATAATTAACCTGTTTTCATGCAAAAAAAAAAAAAGACTCCTTTGTCTTCAATTCATAGAAACAGGAATTTCGTCTTGTGTTTATGACTAGTAAAAGCACTATTTACTAGGGACATAAAAATAATAGTATGAATGATGAGGCAACAAACCCAGGGTTAATTTATCTTGTGCACTACAGGACAATCTTGACAATGATTAAGACTTTTCAGGGCACCTGGGTGGCTCAGCCGTTAAGCTTCTACCTTCAGCGTATGTCAGGATACCAGGGTCCTGGGTCTGAGCCCACATCAGACTCCCCACTCAGCAACGAGCCTGTTTCTCCCTTACTCCCTCTGCCTGCCGCTCCCCCTATTTGTGCGCTCTCTCTGTCAAACAAATAAATAAAATCTTAAAAAAAAAAAAAAAAAAAAAAGACTTTTCTACCCCTCTTTCCTTTCCTCTCCAATTCCAAGTGCTTTCTTTCTTTCTTTTTTTTTTTTTTTAAGATTTTATTTATTTATTTGACAGATCACAAGAAGGCAGACAGGCAGGCAAAGAGAGAATCAAGGGAAAGCAGGCTCCCGGCTGAGCAGAGAGCCTGATGCGGGGCTCGATCCCAGGACCCTGAGATCATGACCTGAGCCGAAGGCAGAGGCTTAACCCACTGAGCCACCCAGGTGCCCTCCAAGTGCTTTCTTTTTTGCCCCTTAGCCCAATATGAAAATCACACAGGGGATAGAATCCAACCTCCTCCTAAACAATGAGGGGCAGAGTCCAAATGCTAAAAGCTGGCTGGAAAAGAGAACAGGAGAGCCTGGCAATTCCATGAATAGGGTACCAATGATCTGGGTTCCAGCTTAGAAATTACAGGCCATGCCAAGTGGCCGGAGGAGGAAAGCTAAGCCAAGCAGTCAGGAGACCAATATATACAAAGAGCCCCAGAAAAGTATGCAAGAGGGATACTGAAAAACACAACTATGATCTCTACATCAGGCAAAGACTCTATGCCTTGTGCCCAATGTCTGTTCTGGAACCAAAAGAATTCAGATTGTGGACACAAAGACCAGGTAGGGGAAGAAGAGCTAGATACTGGGCTTGTCTCACAGCAAAGGGCAGCACCCTATAAAATAAAGGCCAAATCACACTATTACCTTCAGCCTCTTGTCCAAACTTAGGTCTTAATTTCTCCCCAGGCCATACCTCCCATAGTCAATCCCAGCTCAGTAAATGGCAATACAATTCACTCAGGTTCCCTAGCCAGACCTAGAATCATTCTTGATTCCTCTCCTTCACCAACAGACCAAGTCCTTTTGATTCCACCTTAAGAACACCCCGCCCATCTGTTTGCTTCTCTCTCACCACGCCAGTCCAAGTCATCATCATCACTTACCAGGGCAACTAGTCCCCCTGCTTCCGCCCTTCCCACCTACCATCTAGTCTCTACCTGGCAGCCAGAGTGCTCTCAATAAAACACATGCTCCTACTTAAAAACCTTTCCATCACCGTGAGCATATGGAGAAACTGGAACCCTCATGCATTGCTAGTGGGAAGGTAAAAATGGTCCAGTCTCTGCGGAAAACAGATTGGCTGTCCCTCAGAAAGTTGAAACACAAAATTTACACATGACCCAGTAATTCCACTCCTAGGTATATGCCCACAAGAACTGAAAACAGGCATTCAAACAAACGCTGTACATGATTATTTGTAGCAACACTGTTCACGACAGCCAAAACATCTGAACAACTCAACATTTAAGATGTTCAAATGTTCGACTATAAATGGATGGATAAACACATGTTGTATGTACACACATACAGGCACACACGCAGATGCATGCACACACGAAGGAATATTCTTCAGCCATAAAAAGGAATGAGGTACTAATACATGCTACAATGCAGATCAACCTTGAAAAGATTATGCTCAGTGAACAAAGCCACGCACAAAACATCACATATTGTAGGACTCGATATATAAGAAATATTTAAAATGGGTAAATCCATAGAAACAGAATGCAAAATGGTAATTACCAGGAAGGGAGGGAGTAGCTAAGGAGCCTAACTGCTTAATGGGTATGGAGTTTTCTTCTGGAATGACAGAAGTATTTCAGAACTAGATAGAGGTGGTGGTTGCACAAAATTGTGAATATACTTAAATGCCTCACCTCCATTTGAAACAGAGACTTCTAAACAAACAGAGACTTCTAAACAGGGACTAAACAAAAGAGACTTCCAGGGAAGATGGCGGAGCAGGAGGACCCTGCCCTCACCTCATCCCACAGATACAACTAGGTAACACCCATCAGGGTAAATAACCCAGAAAATTACCTGAAGACTGGCAGAAAAGACTCTCCACAGGGAAATGTAGAAAAGAGGCCACACTGAGGAGGGCAAGAAGGAAAGAGAAATGGTGTGGGGAGCTAAATGGAACCGCAGGGCTGACCATGGGAGGGAGCGATGCTGCAGGTACTGGGTACTGCGAGGGGAAAAAAACAGACCGTCACACCAGGCATCCCAGGCACAGGGAACCCACACAGGAAGACTGGGAAGACAAATCCCTGTTACATTTGGCTTTGAAAAGCATAAGGACTGAATTTCACGAGTTCTTACCATCAGAGGTGCTTAACAAATGAACTTTAAAAATCAGCAGACTCCGCTCTAAGAGAGCTGAGAGAGCAATAAAAAATTAAAATTTGAAGCAAAAACCTTCCAGGGCACCTGGGTGATTCAGTCAGTTGAGTGTCCAACTCTTGGTTTCAGCTCAGGTCATGATCTCAGGGTGTGATCTCAGGGTTGTGGGATCGAGCCCCACATCAGCTCCCCACTCAGCAGAAAGGCTGCCCTCACCCTCTTCCTCTATTCCTCTCCCTGCTCACTCGCTCACTCTCCCTAAAATAAATAAAATCTTAAAAAAGAAAAAACAAAAGCCTTCTAACCCACAGTAACAACAAACCACCCAGATGTTGGTTTCTATTATCATTCTCTACAAAAGTAATCAGGATCCCTTGGAGAAATGGCTAATTCTAGGACGAGAGAAAATATATAAAAGATGACCCTGAAGCATCTTATTAATTGCTGAAAGTAAGAAAGTACTCAAGGAAACCACAATGATGGAAGTATGTCAAAGTTAAAGAACCAACTGAAAGGGCTGCAAAAAGCTGAAAACAACAGGACCAACAGAATAAACAGAGTGGTACTGGATTATAACCCAAGTATAAAATAAACATCCAGCAGTCTATACTGATATAAACAAATTATTCAGCAGATAAATGAGGGGAGAACAGACATAGCCCCTGTGCAGAAAAAGCCTGATTTACATAGCTACTTCACCTTCATGGACATGGAGCAATACTTCCCACTGGCTAAGTCTCAGCGGCACAGTGACCTTTCTCCCAGGAAAACAGTATGGAAAGGGGGCGAAAGCAACTTTACAATCAAGAAAACTGACAAACACTACCTCAAGCCAGGTGTAATCAAGGTAATATGATCAGTAATCAAGGGTAATATGAATAGTGATAAATAGTATTACATATGTGCCCTTATGATGTGATGAGAATGGTACTTTATTTCTGTAGTCTTCCTCCCCTAAACACGTAACTGCAGTCTGATCATGAGAAAAACAAGTGACAAAATCCAATTGAGGGGCACTCTACAAAGTATCTGACCAGTTCTCCTCAAAACTGTCAAGGTCAGGATGCCTGGGTGGCTCAGTTGGTTAAGTGTCTGCCTTCTGCTCAGGTCATAATCCCAGGCTCCTGGGATCGAGCCCTGTGTGGGGCTCCTTGGTCAGAGGGTAGTCT